AAAAAAAAAAAAAAAAAAAAAAAAAAAAAAAAAAAAAAAAAAAAAAAAAAAAAAAAAAAAAAAAAAAAAAAAAACAGTAAAACACTCTTTGTGCCAAGTCAGCTAGAAATTATTTATGGTCAGTCAATTTTGACTGTTTCCATGCTGACATATGTTTTACACAAATGATAGATAAAAAGTTAAAAGATGATGATGATGTGGCATAACCTGACAAAAACAAAAAGTAAGCTAAGTAAATACAATAAATATCATACTTGCCCAATCATCATGCATTTACTTTTCAATTTTTCAATCATACTCTTAAGATATAAAGTAACAAATTTACGTGTATTTTTATTAATTTAATTTAAGTATATTCTAATTTTTTTTAATATTAATTAATGAAACGGTTTATTCAATCAATCCCATAATTATTTATTTTAGATATTACTAAAAAGAGATAAAAATAAGGATTTGTATCCCATATTTTCTAAAATGCAATATTGAAAACTTTATGGATTAAAATTAAAATTAATTTGTATCCGTGTTCTTATTCGGTTAACATCAAAAATAGCCCTTTATTAAGGTTAGTTTTAATTATTCTTACTCCCAAATCTTCTCTTTTTTTTTTCTTTCTTTTAATTATATTCATAATTCCTTTCTTCTTTTTATTTTAGCAAATTTTTTAATCAATTTTTACTTTTTTTTAGTTATTAATATTTATTTATTTTTATAAGAAATTAGAATTAATTTTATTATTTGAAAGTAATTAATTTAGATGAAAATGAAGAATGAATAAATAAGCATGGAATCATATCAATGGAGTATCCAAGGCTTTGTTGATATGTCCTCTTCAATTTCACTATTTATGTCCCAACTTGTCTCTGCCACATTCCTGTCCCTCATTTTTTCTCCTCTTTTTATTTTATTTTTTAAATTTTAATATCAAATTATTATAAATTATTATAAATTACCCTTTCCTTAAACAAAACTTCAATCAATATACTTTTAAATTTTTTATTTTAAATTTATTATATAAATTAATTATATGGGTCGTTTTTTTATTTAACACTTAATCTTAGCTTACTCAATATCAATGAGTTTATTCTTTGTTAATGCACATATTTATCAGTATTTTTGTATAGTCACGAGTTCATTTTCATTATATAACGTAAATAAATAATAAGCCAATTTTTTTTTAAAAAAATATGGATGAATATTTATTAATTAAAACCATGATTTTAAAAAAATAGTTGAAATATATAATTATAGGAAGTGTTGCTGATATTATTGAAGAACAAAAAATGGAGACAAACAAAAAGAAACAAAAAAGAGTAATATAATTGAAAGGGAAGACGTGAGAAAGAGGCAAATCCGGCGGGGGAACAAGTTTGTGTGAGCCGCTGGCCGCCGATTAGTGTTCGTGTATTTTGTGAAAAAGACAACTTCAAACAACCAGGCACTCTACTTTTTTTTTAACCCACCTCACAATTATCCATTTTTCAACCATTTATATATTATTCTAACTTACAACTTCATGTTCATGTTCGAATAAACAGGCCAGTACTTACTGACGTGCTCTTGTCGAACATCGCAAAAGAAACGAGCTCGTATAACATCGTGACAAACATAAATGTCATAAATCATAAGTAGTAATGTATTCAAAGTATTTATTGTAATGAGAAAGTGTTCTAATGCACGTGACACACAAATATGCATGAGGTTCCTATAACCTAATAAGTCTATTGAATTATGCATACGTAATTTTTATACATTCTTTCGTACAGAGCAATGTCTATGGAGGTTTATGCATAATAGTTTATAGATTTTTTAATCCTTCTATACAACATGACATGATAACATTGTAGTATAACTTTTAAACATGACGTAACTTACAATAACATAACATAGTATAAAATGACATAATATAGCAACATAACATATCATGCATATATATGACATGTACGGGGGATACAAGGCACAAATCATCATATATAATACAATTCGTCCATTCAAGAATTAACTCTAAATTTTAAGTTGATCCAAAAGATTTTTCCGATCTAATTTATATATAGACTTAAAATCAATCTAAACAAGGTTCAAAAATTTTTTTAGTAGCAAGAAAAAAAAAAAAAAGAAGGCGAAATGACGTTTTTAACCTCTAGAATTCCCTTATTGGATCATATTGTAATAATTAATCGAATATTCCTTTTGTTGAATCTTTGAGTCCACTCATTTTATGTTGGAAGTTTATAGATTTTTGTTTTAATACACAAATAGGAAACTACTCTATGGATCATACTTCCCTACTTAAGCAAACATGTAACGATTTGACTTTTCGATCTTAAAAGAATTTTTTTTTTTTTTTTTGTTGGTTTAAAAGTTGAAGAAGGTATTTAAAATGTATATAAGGTAAAATATTTTTGAAGAAAGTAAATAAAATATTAAGAAAAGAATGAAGATAAGAATACTTAGTACGTCACGCTGTTGTTGGAGTAAAAATATGCAAACATGTATAACATTCCACATGATTGAAGGGATCTATGATTGACCTTGGATCCAGTAGGCGAGTTCATTCTCGAGTATAATTAAAACGATAGTACTTCTCTACACACAATTTACACACATGCACATGGATCTACTGGACGAGAACAATAGGCATAACTATGAGCTAATGCACGCTTATGTAGTTGATATTGGTGGAAAATAAATGAAAAAAAATACAATATAATAAATGTTTGAGCCTATAAAATGAATGATCGGAGCCCATTATTCAACTCATCATTTACTGCATGCTCATGCAACCGAAATTGGCAAAAAAGAAAGGAAAGCAAAGAATATATATAGTAACTGCACGTGTCCAAAGATTGAAGAAGTAATCCATGACTACACGAGCATATAACATACATGGGTCCCACTATACAATTCAACATTTAGTGATATGGTGCAATAGTAAACATATACATGCTTATCACTAGTAACCATATATGTACGTGATCATATATGTTCATACATTCTATGTATCATTGAATTGGACCTAGCCGACTTAGTTGAACTAGTTTTAGTCCTATTGAACTAAGCTTCTATTTTTCAGTAGATATTATCTTCTTTACCTTTTAATAAAAAATGAATGATCGGAGAACTAAGCTTCCCGTTTTAAAACCTAAAGAAGATAATATCTACTTTATATCAATTGAGTTACATTATATTAAGTTATACTAATGTAAATACCTTTCTAATACAATATCAAAAAAACCAATTAATTTCAACATGATCATAATTTAAATGGTCATGAAATTGCATTATCGGCGATATCAGTGATTCAAATTGCTCTATACTACACGTTCTCGAACTCATTTTTATTTCATAGGAAGGAGATAGCAGCTAGGCTTGATGAAGCATACGTGACAAAAGGGGAAAGATAAGAAAATTGTGTAATTATTTCATGGCTTGTTGTAGCAACAAAGTATGAGTGGAGAAGAAGAAATTCCTCCATTTTACCCGGGTCTTCTACAGAACTCATCACAAACTTGAACATCGTCACAATTCATCAAACAAACAAGTTCACTCATTCCTGCATATAACCCAACATTTCAATCATATATTTATTCGAGTAAAAAAGACTATATTACAAAAAAATATTATCAAACAAGAGAATGATATATCGAACCGAGAGAAGCAATGAGCAAGATATTAAGGATCAAGAGAATGAAATGTCATAGTAATTTTTTTTTTATTTTTTTTTATGTGGATTTGAAATAGTATATACATAACATACTTTTACATTTTTAATTCAAAAGTGTATAGAACAATAACCAATAATGTTTGAGTTCCAAACCTATTGTCACAACCCGATATTTTACTATGAGTTGTGACTCAAAAAATAATGTGTATGCAAAGAACAAGTTGAGAAGGTGTAAAGGAAATCATTTATTCCTATAACCGAAAGTTTCAATACAAAGATTCAAACAAATGAAAGTTCCAAAAGAACAAAAATGTGAAAAATCTAAATGCAAAAGAAAAGACTGGTTTGACGCCCCGGGACATGCATTCTTCTGTGACAATTCGCCCCTCTGATCACGCCCTACCTCGACCCAACGCCTCATGTACTTGAAGAAAAAAAATGAGATAGCAAGAATGAGTATAAAATTATACCCGTTAGGCCTCCTACTTGTAGGCTCTCATTGCATCCTAAGCTTAACAGTCAACGCGGATTTCTCGTTGGCTCTAGCACATCTAGTTCTAATCTTAAACCCTTAGGGGTTTTCCCTTGGGACTTCTATTATTCTCCGTCCTCTTGTTTGGTACCTAGGGGTTCCTTATGCTAAGTTGGACTGACCGATGTCTCTCTACGAGGCACTACCTCTATATGGCTAACTGAGACCACATGATATCTTGCCTAGGAGTGTGTTGAATACCTTCTAAGGTCATAATAGTCCCCCTGGGCGGCGTGACCCAACCCATTCCCATGCAGCTAATAGGCTATACTACGTGGGGACACATTTTCCATGCAAAACGGCTAGGAGCAGTAAGTTGATCAAGACCTTTGGTCCTCCCACGAAACTATAGACACCGTTCAGACAACTAGCAGCCTATGTACATCCCTAAGGAACTACGTTTACCGTGGTGATTTGCTAAACTCCTAGGGGAGGGATCGATCTAGGTTCAATGGCTAGCCACTCTAATCTTGGATCCCTAGGCTTATTCCTAAAAAGTTTCCTAAACATTACATCCTCTCCTAAACATTTCCAAAAGGAAGCAAGCATCATGAATCACATACATTATACAATTTATGCAAAGACAGAAAATTATGTTCAACGGGGTGATAACATCCATCAACACCCGGAACGCAGAGTTCACAATTCTCCATCCTTCTCTCAGCATGCATAAACAATTACACACAAAGCGGAAGCATAAAACATGTTTAAATTGTCATAGATCATGTACATCGCAACTTAAACTAATAACATAGGAAAGTCTAATCAACTAAGGAAACTAATCTAGCATGCATGCATACCAAGGCGATTCCTTCTTCCTAAGTTCTGTATGGTGACCTACCTGGTTGATATGTGCCCTTTCGCTAGCGTCTCTGTGCTCGTAAGGTGTCCAAAAATACTGATTATCCTTGATTTGGTCCCTATTCACATAAAAATATTATTGAAATAGGAATCGAGACAAACAGAAGGTAAACGGACAAAAAACGAGACTCCCACGTGCCTTCACGCGCCTATCACATGCTAGCCACGTGCGGGAAAGGATGCCAGTCGCAGACTGCACGCGCGACGACTACACGCGGATTGCTTCACGTAGTCGTGGGTTGGGTTGGTTCGGTCAGCGGTTCAGTTCGCTGCGGTTCAGCCTGGTTTCTACTGGTGACACTGGTCGTCGTTCTGCTGGAGCTACGTCGCTCCAGCCGACGCTCAATATGTGTCACAGCCTGCCGAGTCGCGCTCCGCTGCGCCGCCTCTCCTTTTTTTTCTTCTCTCTCTCCTGCAATCCGTTGTCCTTTTTCGATCTGCAGTTTTCCAATTTTCATATCTTTTGATCTTGAGCTCGGATTGATATGGTTCCTTCGACAAAGTTCTAGATCGTGTTGAGGGCTACATCTTGGTATTTTTTTTCGTGATTTTAGCCTCAACATAAAATGAGATTTGAGCCACAGAATTTTGCTTACTGTCTCTGACGATTCTCGAATTTCTGCCAAGTTTCTTCACGAAGTCAACTTCCCTAGATGAACGTATTCAAACATTAGGTCTTGATTTGTAAAGCTTAGTCTCGGATCTAGAAAACGTTCAAGAACTCACCTCGGTTCTCGACGAAGTCTCGGCGGCGGCTCCTCGATTCTCCCAAACCCTCCTCTAGTCTTCCCTTTCTTTTTGGTGGCCTCTAGGGTTCCACTTGGACCCTATTGTAGATGGAGGGGCAAAATGACACATTTGCCTCTTGGTGGGCTTGGGTCGATTTTTATTTATTTATTTATTTATTTAGGTGTTACAAGCTCTCCCCACCTTAAGGGACTTTCATCCCCGAAAGTTGGAATCCATTGAAAGAGTTCGGGATGGGCCTTCTTCACGTCTTCTTCTCATTCCCAGGTTGCCTCCTCTTCACGGCGGTTACCCCATGAGACCTTCAGCAAGGGGATGACTTTGTTACGCAATCGCATGGTGTCTCGAGCCAGAATTCTGCTAGGCTTTTTCTCGTAAGATAGATCTTCCCGAAGGGGAAATGTGTCGTGCTCAATCACATGGGTAGGGTTTGGAGTGTACTTTCGCAACATGGACATGTTGAACACGTTGTGTACGATGGCAAGGTTCGGCGGTAGGGCTATCGTGCAGGCCACAGCCCCACTCGCTCTAGAATTTCGAAGGGGCCTATGAACAATTTTTCCCTCTTCCCAAACCTCAACACTCCTCTCATACCTTCAGGAAGACATGGTCACCCACCTCAAATTCGAGGTCCCTTCTATGCAAATCTACATAGCTCTTCTGACGGGTCTACGCGGTGAATATTTTTTATTTGATTTCTAGACTGCTGCATTGGTGACCTGAACTAACTCTGGTCCTAGTAGTTGCTGCATGCCTACCTCCTTCCAGAACACTAGTGTTCGACACCTACGCCTATACAACTCCATCAAAGACAGGTGGTCGTCCTAGCACCTCGAGAAATCTATGACACAGACTTGCAACATATCTTCTAGGATCTGATTCAGTCTTTCGGTTTGTCCATCCGTTTGAGGGTGGAATGCTATACTGAATCTCAATTGGGTTCCTAGTGCTTTCTGGAGACTTTTCCAAAACTAATAGGTGAACCTGGTGTCCCGATCTAAGACTAGGGACACTGGCACCTCGTGCAAGCGTATTATCTCCTTGATATATAACTGAGCCCACCGATCCACTCGATATGTAGACTTTCCTGGAATGAAGTGACCTATCTTGGTTAGTCGTTCCACAACCACCTAGATTACGTTGTATCCTGCGTAGTCTTGGGCAAACTTGAGATGAAGTCCATACAAACTGCTTCCCATTTCAATTGAGGAACATTCAAGGGCTTAGCAATCCTACTAGACCTTGTTTCGGGGCCTTTACCTGCTGTCAGGTTAGACATCAACTTACGAAATCTGCTACGACCAACTTCATTCTTGACCACCAGTAACATCCTTTTAGATCCTGATACATCTTCGCACTTCCAGGGTGGAATGTATAAGATGTATCATGGGCTTCAGTCATGATATCTTTCAGGATGATATGAATTCAACTGCTGACCCTTTGTATGTACTCGTAGGACCGATTACAAGAAGCAAGATTAAGAAGATTCAAGAGGCCTATGCATTGCATCTTCAAAAGCTAGCTAGTGTACAAGTTGAAACAAAGACTTTTGAGCCCAAAAATGTTTATAGCATTAACATATCAAATCAAGAAGATAATGGAGTGGCTGACATTGGAAAGTAATTAGAAGACTTGCCTTTGGTAGTTGAACTACCAACTCTTGGTTGGAATCAATTCGTTAAGTTAGCTTTCTTTGTGAACTTTTGCAAGGATTCTAGAACCTTGCAAAATCCAGCATTGTTGGCGCTTATCATGAAGTCCATACAAACTGCTTCCCATTTCTATTGAGGAACATTCAAGGGCACCCATCCTACTAGACGTTGTCTCGGGGCTTTACCTGTTGGCAGATTTGACATCGACTTACGAAATCTGCTACGTCCTTCTTCATTCTTGGCCACCAGTAACATCCTTTTAGATTCTGATACATCTTCGCACTTTCCACAGTGGAACGTATAAGATTTATCATGGGCTTCAGTCATGATATCTTTCAGGATGCTCTTGTCACGGGTAACGCACAGGCGGTCTTGCCACCGCAGGCCACCGTTTGAGGAGATAGAATACCCAATTGGTCTCTTTGCTTCAGTCTGACTCCACACTTTGTTGAGGTGTTCATCAAACCTCTGGGCATTTATGACTCGTTTTTTTAGGGTGGGTTGTACGGTCATCTGTGCTACCTGAGCGGTACCACCTTTAACCACCACATCTATCCCAGCTCTCTTCATCTCATCTTGTAATTTCTCTTCATTAGTGATCATCACAGAAGTATGAATGGCCTTCCTGCTCAATGCATCATCTATGACATTGGCTTTGCCTGGATGGTACAGGATTTCTATGTCAAAATCCTTTACTAGTTCCAACCATCGCCTCTGTCTCATATTGAGCTCCCTCTGCGGGAACAAGTATTTGAGGCTCTTGTGATTAGTGAAGACTTGAACCTTTTCCCCATATAGGTAATGTCGCCACGTTTTCAAAGCAAACACTACCGCTGTTAACTCGAGGTCATGCATGAGATAGTTTCGTTCATATTCCTTCAACTGTCTAGAGGCATACGCTATCACCTCACCCTTCTACATGAGCACACACCCTAAGCCTTTCTCTAGCGCGTCACCATACACCACGAGGTTGCCTGACCTGTCTGGGACTGTGAGGACTGACGCTGTCACCAACCTCTCCTTAAGTTCTTGGAAACTCTATTCACAAGCTGAAGTTCAAGCAAATGATTTGCCCTTCTTGGTTAACTGAGTTAGCGCTGAAGACAGCTTGGAGAAATCCTGGACGAACCTTCTGTAGTATCCAGCTAGCCCCAGAAAACTTCATACTTCAGTGACTGTGGTTGGCCTTGGCTACTTCATCACTACTTCAATCTTAGTTGGGTCCACTGTAATCCCTTTACTTGACACAACATGACCCAGGAACGCCACATCAGCTAGCCAAAACTCGCACTTGGAAAACTTCGCGTACAGTTGTTGGGCTCTTAGCATTGCCAGAACCTTCCTCAAGTGCTTCTCATGCTCTACCTTTGACTTAGAGTATACCAGAATGTCATCACGAAAAACTATGACAAAAGTGTCTAAGAATTCCTTAAACACTCTGTTCCTTAGCTCCATGAAGACCGTTGGTGCATTGGTAAGGCCGAAGGACATAACAAGTAACTTGTAATGCCCATAGCGACTCCTGAAGGCTGTCTTAGGTATATCCTCTTCTCTGATCCTCAGCTGATGATATCCGGACCTCAAATCAATCTTGGAGAAGATCGTTGCTCCCTGTAGTTGATCAAACAGGTCATCAATCCTCGGGAGGGGGTACTTGTTCTTTATGGTGACCTTATTAAACTTTCTGTAATCAATACATAGACGCATGGATCCGCCCTTCTTTTTGACAAACAGAACAGGGGCTCCCCAGAGTGATACGCTAGGTCGAATGAATCCTTTGTCTAAGAGCTCTTGTAGTTGTTCTTTCAATTCCCTGAGTTTTGCAGGTGCCATCCTATAGGGTGCCCTGGAGATCGGCATGGTTCTCGGTTCTAGATCGATCCCAAAATCCACTTCCCTAGCAGGGGGCAAACCTGGAAAATCCTCTGGAAAAACATCGACGAATTCCCTGACGAGACTGTCTGCTAGCCTTCAATGTTGTAATGACGCTTGGGGTTCTCTAGGAGGTGGTTCCCTTGTATGTAAAGTTATCCCCTGACGAAAGTCTGATGGTCACTACTCGAGTCTCACATATTATAGCGCGATTCTCGCCTAGCCAATCCATACCCAAGATAATATCGAAGTCTTGCATGCTTAACACAATCAACGCGGCTTCTATGACACGTCCCGACACTATTACACTACCACCCTTAACCCAATGAGTCGCCATCAATAGCTCATGACCAGGATTAGACACTGACAAGGTGATCTCTAAGGGTTCCTTTTCTAAGTGTGCTAGCTCTATGAATTCCTCGTATACAAAAGAATTGGTAGAACCAGAATCAAATAATACTAAGGCCAAATGACCAAAGACGGGTAGCATACCTATAATAACTGTGTCAGGCTCGTCAGCTCGCTTGACTGTAGTTGCATGGGCTACAGCTCGCCCCTGCTAAGGTTGGGCACCTCAGCCTCTCTATTTCAATGCTGCAAGTCGGTTATTGGGCTGATCGTTCCTTTGAGAGCAATCTGCTGCAAAGTGGCCTGCTTGGCCACACTTGAAACACGCATCCGTATTGGCTCTGCATTCCCCCCTGTGAGGACACCTGACAATTGGAACAAAGGGCTCTATTCTGTACCAGGGTTCTTCCCTGCCTATTAGTACGACCTCGGGGCTGCCTACCAGTCCTGGGGAGGTTCTCGTTTGTTTTTTTCCCTTGGACTGTAGTGCGGGGTGTCTGGGATGGTGTTGCCCGCATCGATGAGGGTCGCTACTCTGATGGCTTCTGCATAGTCTGAGGCTTCTTGGGCTGCCACATGTGCCCTTATATCCTCCCTAAGAGCTGCAATGAACCACTCGACCTTCAGCTCATCAGTGCTAACAAACAACGGAGAAAACCTTGCAAACCTGTAGAATTCCAGATCATACTCCTCCACGGGCTTACCTTGTAAACCTGTTGAATTTCAGATCATACTCCTCCACTGGCTTGTAACCATTTGTTGCAGAGGTATGCATCTTTGAACTGGCACCAGGTGATTGGCTCATCGTTCGGTGCAATCATCCTCTTAGCGTCTTTCCACCAGAAGTTCACTTCCCCTTTCGACATGTACGTTCCACAATGGACTTGGTACTCCATGGACACTTCATGAAATAGAAAGCTATTTCAATAGCCTCCAGCTACGTCTCTACTGCAACAGGGTCCACCTTTTCCTCGTCAAAGTTAGGCGGTTTGTGCCTCTGTAAATCCTTCAGGTAACGTGACTCCACAGTCATAGTATTTTGGCGCTTGCATTGTTGTCTGATTAGCCATCATCGCCTGCATCATTTGAGTCATCATGTTCTGGTTTTGGCTCATTACGTTCTGATTCTCCATGGAGGTGATCATGAAAGTTTGCACGT